GTTATAGATATCTCATGTAATCCTATGACAATTTCTGGCATGCTGTAAGTGCTTAAGAGATACTAATTGATTGCAGACACACCCCCTGTCTTTAAGGCGAATATAAAATCTGCCTTCCCTAGCGGTCTGATAGGCAAGGGTGTGGTTGGATTATAAAACAGGTGATAGTCCTTGTCCTGTTATAAAAGGTTCTCTGTACCATCATTCCTTAAATGCATGGCTTCCCCCGATGAAGGACCAAATCCTTCACGTGGCCCACAGTCCCTTGTGGTCTGGCCCTTTCTTCCTTCTCTGCCCTCAGCTTGCACCATTCTGCCCTTGTTCTGTGCTCCAGTCACCAGGCTTCAGTCACTCCTGGATGCTTCCTGCTCTCTTCTACCACAGGACGTTTGCACAGGACCACTGTCTGGATGCTTATGACCTCCACATTCACCCAGTTAACGTCCACTCATTTTCAAAATTTATTATTCATTCATTATTTAGTATTTGATGCAAAGAATATTTGTTCCACATACATAACTAGGAAGCAAAACAATAAAACGAACATCTGTAAACCAACCACTTAAGAAGCTGGATGTTTGTATTGAGCCATTGTATCAACTGGTGTCCTCCTTCCCCTTTCTACTTCTGTTTCCCCCAAAGGTAGTCACTACTCTGAATTTTTTTACTTATTCCCTCATTGTTAAAAATTGTTTTATCACATGTAGATGTCTCCCTAAAGAATTTATTGTGAAATTTTTTGTTTGTTGTTAAAAATTGTTTTATCACATGTAGATGTCTCCCTAAAGAATTTATTGTGAAATTTTTTGTTTGTTTGTTTGAGGGCTGCCTTAGTTTCCTGTTGCTGCTGTGACAAATTACCACAAAATTAGTGGCTTAAAACACATAGTTTTTTTTATCTTACAGTTCAGAGGTCAGAAGTCCCACTTAGCCAAAACCAAGGTGTTGGCAGAGCTGCATTCCTTTCTGCATTCTCTAGGGCAAGAATCTGTTTCCTTTTCTAGTTCCTAGAAGTTGTCTACATTCCTTGGCAAATGGTCCCTTCACAGCCAGCAGCATAGCATCTTCCAGTCTTTCTCTCTGATTCTGATGCTGTTGTTACATCTTTTCTTCTCTCCTTTGTCATCATATCACCTCTCAGAAAGACCTTTGTGATGACATCGGACCTACCCACATAATCCAGAATAATCTCCCTAATTCAAGATCCTTAATTTAATCACAACAGAGTCCCTTCTGCCATGTAAGGTGACATATTCATAGGTTCTGGGAATTAGGATGTGGACATCTTTGGGAGCCATCACTCTCCCTACCAGAGAAGCTCTCTACAAATGGTATTGTATACATACACTTGTGCAACTTGCTTTTTCACTCCATATTGCATTTCTAATATTCATCTTTGCTTATATCCCACGTTTATTTAGCCCTTCTCCTGCCAATGAACTTTTGCCCACTTTCTCCTTCAGACTTCAGCTCCAGCGTTGCTTCCTAAGGGAAGTCTTCTTGACCCCCTAGACAAGGGGATGCTCCCCCACCACCTGTCCTCTCAGAGCTGTGATCCTATCTCCCAGTAATGTGTAACAGCATATTATACCAGGTGGTTTCTCTGCCCCCATGATGGAACTTCAACAAGACAAGGGACTGGACCTGTTTGCTGTCCCAATGCCTGACACGGAGCAGAAGGACCACTATCTTATCACCTGGCCAGAGAGTTCCTGCCCAGCTGGCCGCCTTTGCATTCCTCTGCCCTCGTGGTCACCATCCCTTCCTTCTGCTCACCCCCTCCCCGGCTCTCCCTGTGGAATGGCTGACCGCCTGCAGTTGGGCTGCCTTGTCTCTTCTGCAGGTGCAACCTGCCCCCCATCTCAGAGAAGTACACCATGGATGTGGGGGTGAAGACGGATGTGGTCACCGTGAACCCCAGCATCATCACAGAGAGGTCAGTGGTCCTTCTTCTAGAACTGTGCTGTCTAATTTGGTAGCCAACAGTCACATGCAGCTACTGAGCACTGGATATGTAGCTAGTCCAGATTGAGATGTGCCAGCGGTGTGTCAAACACATACCAGATTTCAAAGACTTAATATGAAAAAAGGAAGTAACATATCTCACTAATATTTTTATATTAATTACATGTTGAAATGATAGTATTTTCAATATATTGGGTTAAGTAGAATATAAAAATTAATTTCACTTGTTTCTACTTTTAAAAATATGCTTACTAGAACATTTAACATTACATATGTGGCCTGCATTTTATTTCTTTGGACAGCGCTGGTCTAGACTACTTTCACCTAGAGATGGGGCAGAGAGCTTTCTAGAGTGTGACCAGGGCTTGCAGCTCCTCACCTGGCTGTGCCCGGGCGACACTGGGGAGAAGCCTCATGCAAAGATCTCAGCCCCACCTGGCTCCCCTCCTGGGGTCTGTCTGGGAGGTTTCAGGGGATGGGGGTTAATGTGTTGAAGTCCCAACCGTGGGCATAGTCACATCACCCAGGCCAGATAAAAGCTGAGGGGAGGGGACAGTGAAAGATGCATGGAGAAGGAGTTATTAAATTGGACCAGATGCCCCGGGACACCTACTTAAGGGGTGGGAAGAGGAAGCAGAGTCATCAAAGAGGGCCCAGGAAAGAAAAAGGTGTGAGAGATGCGCCCAGAGGTGGGGGGGGGGGGGGGGGGGGGGGGGGGAGGGGGGGGAG